GAACATTCATACATTGCTGAGCTATGACTGATAATAAATTTCAGTATCAACACATGAAAACTCAGAGAAAATTGAAATAAGATAACCTTTAAAAATTCAAGAGACGAATAAGGTAATCTTTGGCTTGGTGTCTTAGACCACTCAGGAACTTCAAATGGGAAGATAATTAAGTGGAAGTGAAACATTAAGTTTAACTGAGAACATTCATACATTGCTGAGCTATGACTGTTAATAAATTTCAGTGTCAACACATGAAAACTCAGAGAAAATTGAAATAAGATAACCTTTAAAAATTCAAGAGACGAATAAGGTAATCTTTGGCTTGGTGTCTTAGACCACTCAGGAACACTGCCTCCCTTGGTATTTTAAGTGCAAAAATCTAAATTATTCCAGATATCAAGTTTATAATCGCTAGCTTTTACTGTTGTTTTGTTTTGGGTAGTTTCGTCTTGGTAGGGAGACCCCGGAAATATAGAAAATTCACAAAACTGTTTCATTTGAGGGTAACTCAGAAGTGGCTGTAATATTTGGTCGGTCAAAAGCCCATGTCTCTTACCTGCTTTCCTATCTCATGACCCAAATCTGGTTGGGTTCCTTCTTGGTCTATGGATCTTGACTTCTTCCCCATTTGCCCTGACTCCCCTCCTTATCCTGGTCCTTCAGCAATTTCTTTTCTGTTCCCTACACTGCTCCTTATTAAACACTATCTCTGTCCCTGGATAGTATGTCTTGACAAAATTTGCAAGGTACATATGTGAGTGTGGAGACTACCCTAATGCACTAGATAGGTTTAAAACATGACATGGGCCAGAGGAAGCTTGCATAATACATGTAGGTAATGAGTTATCAAACCTTCCTAAGAAAAGGCCCAAGTTCAATGGAGAACGGAGGATTGCCTTTGAAGTTCTAGCTGTCCTGTTCTCTGTTAACTAGTTTGTCTCCCTGTGAAGCCCACAGCATGGTTAGCAGAAGCAAGATGAAATGCTTACTGACATGGTATGAATAATATGGAACAGTATCTGCCTATGCTTAGGGGCATACACAGTGTAAGAATGAGACAGGACTTCGCAACAACTGCCCCTCCGGTCTTTCTTGTCCAAATTCATTGCTCATAAGTGTATCCCACTATATGACTGGGAGAAATTACTAGAAATACAAACTTACCAAGACAAAATCATAAATATTAGAAAATCTGCAGAGACCAATATAATTCACAACAGGATTATGTGATTTATGAGGAATCTCCCCAGGAAGAAAAGCTCTAGTTTCAAATGGCCTCCTGGAATTCTACTCGTCTCGCAAAAAAAAAAACACCAGTGTTTTCTTCTAGAAAAATCGAGGAATGGGGACTCATTCCTGAATCACCTGTGAATCCTGCCATAGATCCCCTGATACAGAAACCAAAGGCACTTACAATAAAAGAATACCATAGATGACCATCCCTGATGAAGGCTGATACAAGATATCCTGAAAAGAAAAGTTAGCCAACAAATTAAGAGTAATGCCTCATGATCAAGTAGGATTTATTCTGTGAATGGAAAATGAGCACACAAAGTCAGCAACATGGTTAATTGGATGAATGCACTTGCTGCACCACACGCTTGACAGCCCGAGTTCAACTCCCGGATCCCACTGTGGAAGGAGAGACTCTCTGACTTCCAGAAGTACACCACAGTACACATGAAACCACACACACCCACACAAACACGTTATACACATGCACATACCTGACTGTAA